AAAGTGGGAACTTAAAAATTTAGAAAAAAAAATTTTAGATGTGAAAAAAAAATTATTATGATGCACAATGGCGATAAAAATTACTGCACAGTAAAAAATTTTTCGTCAATTTATGAAGTGTAAAAATTTTTGTGTAGCAAATTACACTCTAGTGTGTATAATTTTACATTCTCATGTGTTGATTTAACATACTAGAATGTAGAATTGACATTAGTTTGTGTAAAAACAGTCAGTAACACAAATATTTGTGTTAAATTTGACGAAATTTTTTTTACTGCATGTAAAAAAAATTTTTTTTCCTCTGAAATTGTAGGAAATGACGTTAAAATATATTTTAGAAAGCTAAAAAAGCTTTTTGAAAAAAAAAAAAATTTTTTACGAAATTTTGGGGGTACCCCATTTTGCCCCCCCCCCCTCCCCTATATTATGTTAATTTTAAAAATCCTTCAATACGTATTTTGTAACTGTCTAACGAGAGAGCAACAACGTATTTAATTTTATTCAATAAAAAAAATCTGGAAAACGGTTGACCTTAAAGGCCATCCCTGCAACTTCCCGCTAATTCCATATCTAAGCGCTTAAAATTGCACTTATGACGTTTTTAAGCTCTTCGACCTCAAAAATACAATTCATGTGTTATTTTGAGCTCTTCAAGCTCAAAGAGTTAGCTGTTCTCAGCTTCTGAGCTCAAGAGTCTGATAGAAGTTTAATAAAACACTAATATTTAAATTTTCGAACTGCAATTACTTTCGAATGAATAAACCGATTTTCTTTTGACCTGATTTACTTTTAAACACAAACTGATCAGACCGAAAATTTTAGAGAAATTTATAAAATTCACACGCATAAAAATTATTTGTTAGGACAACAAAAACAGGGGTAACAAAAAAATATGCTGTGATAACAAATGAATTTACTTACAATAACAAATCAACTAGTTTATTTAACAAGATCAACTAAGTTGCAATAACAAATGAGTTTTTACTGCTCTGAAGTTAATTTTGTTGTCTTAACAAAATCGCTTTGTTATTATAATACATTTTTTTGTTGGAATAACAAAATAGTTTTCTTATCAATAAAATTTGTTGCTTGAACAAGCTATTCCGTTGCTTTAACAAATCGATTTGTTACTTCAACAAAACTATTTTTTTAAGAAAATTGAAAGATTCGGTTACAATAACAAAATAATTTTGTTGAGTGAACATATGAATTACTTATTATAATAACCTATGTGTTCGTTAACACAACATATTATTTGTTATCCTTATATCAACATAATAATTTGTTGTAACAACTTATTTTTTGTTGCTCTCTAAATATTAATTTATTTTATCAAAAATGATCCAAAAAGAAATGTCGAAGTTATGTAAAAAAAAAAACCCTTTTTTCTAAATTTTTCATTTTCGATAACTCCTGAACGAATCAACCGATTTTGACGGGACAAGTGGCAATCGACGTGGTTTTTTAAGTTTAAGATCGGAGTAGTTTTAGGAATTGATCGGTGGAGCCGTTTAGAAGTTATTCCAAAAATACCATTTTTTGAAAATTTCATTTTTGAGATTTCTCAAATTCTAGTGAACTGAATCGATTCAAATTTTCACGAAATTTAAGGGCAATGATATGCTTTAGATCATTACTAATCTTGATCCGATCGGTTAAGCCGATCAAAGTTATAAACGGTTTACATACATATACACACACACACACAGCCGCACAGACATCATCACAGGAATAGTCAGGACAGCTTCCTAGGATCTCAAAACATCGAGATCTGTTGAAAACTTGATTTTTGCAAAATGGAGTAAAACCAACAATAACTTCCCGAATTTTAAAAATTTTTAATTTTTGAAGTTATACTTCTTTTGGCGCGTTAGGCAAAAATGATGAGGGTAAATTTTTACGATGCGCGCGCACACCGTCACGAAAAACCGACATGATGAAGTTAGCTATAAGTCAACATTTTAGTTTTTCTAAAAAAGGTACCAACAAAGTAAAAAGGACATCTACGTATGTTTGCGTGAGAACTGACAACTGTATTCACAATATTTATTTATTTAAGTGTTTCTGAACCTACCACACGTGTTTTGTATCAGTCCGAATAAAATCCTATATACTAAAATTGATGGTAGAATGAAGTTATCTTAGTATCGAAAACATGGACCCTGAATCCTTATTGGTTAAGATTAAAGCGCGCGCGTAGCACGCTATTCAAATTTCTAGTATATAAAAATATACATTAATATATATTTTCTCAAAAAACATTATAATATATTATAATAGTTTTTACATATTCCTTTGAATACGTTTATAGAATTTGGGGTTAGTTGACGGTATATATTATTTATGTACATCAAAACTGAAATAAATTTTCACATTCTTATTTAATGTCTGATAAGTTTATAATTAAATTAATAAATTAATAATAGATACAAATAATAATAATATTTAATTCCGAAAAAATTAAATTATTATAAATATTAAATTTAATTAAATGTTTCTTTCTTAAAGTAATCTTAAAATTTTTAATAATAAAATTTATCGTCAGATTGTCCCATACACAGTACAACATGACGATAGTATCAAAATAAATTTTAATAAATATTTGGAACACACTAATAAACTTAATAGAATAATCAAATCAATCACAGTGAGAAATAATTAAAAAAAAAAAAAAAAAACAATTTAAAATAAATTTTTAGAAAGATAAAAGTTTTAAAAAGATTTTTATCTTGTTACACCAAAGAAGTATAACTTCTAACACGTGTACATAAGTACGCACACACTTTTTTTAAATTCAGTTTAAAGAATATTTATGTCACACCGTTTTTTGTGATATATCTTTTAATGAAAACGAACATAATTATTATAATAATGCATGCTTGCCGTATATTCTAAAAAATGAATTTATTATTAAAGTGATAAATTTATTTTACAGATAAAAGATAAAGAAAAAATGCCGCTGCAAAGAAACAATCAAACAATTCATAAGAAAGTTGACACCTGGATTATCAATAATGTAGATAAGTACAACTTTATTGATGATTCAAAAGAGGATGATGTTTTGGTTCATGAGATTCATTCTGGATTCGATGGTAAAGATAAGGGGATTGTCAAGTTAATATTTTGCCATCATATCAACGATTCAATGAGAGCCTATGCTCTCTTTGAACCCGTTAATGAAGATGATATTAAGCATCACGTAGTTGTCACTATGTACGTTCTTACTGCTGAAAATCATTATCAGCCAATCGGACGAGAAATTCTTCGAACTGACACAAGGATGGATAGACTTTGCGGCCACAATATGGTTTTGATGGACGAAGAGGAAATAGAAGGCCGGACAGTAGGATTTACAAGGGCAAGGTTAGAAGAATTTTATGGGAAGAAGTTGGAAGGGCCATTTCCAATCTATAAACAACCCGAAAGAATAATTAATAACACAATTACACTGCGAATTGAACTTTTAACATATTTGGATTCTGAGCCCATGTTTCCATTGCATAAACTATTTAGATTCATGGCAGATGTTCAGCAACCAGACTGGATCTTACGATTATATGAAAATAAAAATTTTAGCGGCGATTTAACAATTAAGATACAAGATAATATATTTCGAGCCCACAAACAAGTGTTAGATCAACGAGGATTTTCATTGAACGATGCAACTACCGAGGAAAATAATATTTTTATTTTTTCGGGCATAAGTCCCGAGATATTTGGTATGCTATTGGAGTATGTTTACACCGGCGCTATCGAGAAATTGAAAGACTTTGCTGAACCTTTATTAGAAGCTGCAGACCGATTTGAACTGAACGATCTCAAGTTTTTATGTGAAAAGGTATTAGCAGAAAATTATGTTGATTATAATAATTTTACCGATGCCTACATTTTAGCTAAACGCTGTAATGCTAGTGGGTTATTGAGTTATGCTCAAGTTATGGGATATGTGCTTTCTCATGGAGACTCTGAAAGATGGTGTAGAAATAATAGGCCAACTGCTGAGCAATTTTAAAAATATGCATTGATAATGAAAAAAATATGGGAAGCAGAAGAAACTTCAAGAGCACATCCTTCTGATGCTCTAGGTGTGTTAAACAAAAAGTTTAATGACTTTTCTACAAATGGTTCGTTTGTTTATTCATTGGCATATTTTTAGTTTTTTACTGTGTGTGTGTGTGTGTGTGTGTGTGTGTGTGTGTGTGTGTGTGTCTGTGTCTGTGTCTGTGTATGTGTCTGTAAACCTCTCATAACTTTTAAACGGCTTGACCGATTTCATCGCGGTTGGCGCTATTTCCCTTATTAGCGGGCATTAGCGGGAAGTTGCAGGGATGGTCTTGATGGTCAACCGTTTTCCTAATTTTTGTTTTTGTAAATTGCCTGAAAACACGGATAAAACGACATTTTCTAAAAATAAATCCTAGCTAGATCGATTTATCGCCCCTAAAACTCCCTGCATACTAAATTTCATAAAAATCGTTAGAGCCGTTTCCGAGATTCTAATTTTATATATTTTCACATTCTTATTTAATGTTTGATAAGTTTATAATTAAATTAATAAATTAATAATAGATACAAATAATAATAATATTTAATTCCGAAAAAATTAAATTATTATAAATATTAAATTTAATTAAATGTTTCTTTCTTAAAGTAATCTTAAAATTTTTAATAATAAAATTTATCGTCAGATTGTCCCATACACAGTACAACATGACGATAGTATCAAAATAAATTTTAATAAATATTTGGAACACACTAATAAACTTAATCGAATAATCAAATCAATCACAGCGAGAAATAATTAAAAAAAAAAAAAACAATTTAAAATAAATTTTTAGAAAGATAAAATTTTTAAAAAGATTTTTATCTTGTTACACCAAAGAAGTATAACTTCTAACGCGTGTACATAAGTACACACACACTTTTTTTTTTAAGCGGGAAGTTGAAAAAAAACATTAACTTTTTGTTTACTAATTAAATCATATAAATTTTATATGTTGGAGATGTTAGGTTGGATGAACATTAAACAAAAGGTAATATATAATTCCTATATCTTGATACACAAAGTTATATTGAATTATAAGCCAAATTATTTATGTAAGAAAATCAAAAAATTTGACAGTAAACACAAATATGAAACTAGAAAGAAATGTGATATTTATGTATTATCTACTCGCACTTACTCAGCGGAAAAAAGTCTAGCGTATAAGGGTTTCAATTATTATAATCAATTACCACATGAGATCAAAGCAGAGAATAGAAAAAATATATTTAAAAGGTTGTTGAAAGAATACATCAAAAATATGTACTAAAGATGTGAATTTGTCGTAAATTTTATATTATAAATATTTTTATTAAATGTAAAAATTTATTTAATTATTGTACAAAAGAATAGCGATGGCTAAATTAATAAATATTATTATTATTATTATTATTATTACATAAATTTTATTCTGGAGAGATTAAATCAATTAAAAATCACTCCCCAAATTTTTTACAGTATAATTGGCAAGGCTATTTATTGAAGTCTACTTTTCTACCGTGCTGGTCAGAGCCATTCATTCAATATTCAGTATTCAGCATTGGGTATACTCCGACAGAACGACAGGTGTGTTTGTCGCTTCAATGACAATTTAATACTTTATACAGCAGTTTACCCTGGACAGAAATTGAATGCAATATTGTAAACCTTACCAGAGACCAGAGTAGAGGTAACGAGACGGACATAGACAGATATAGATATAGATACAGATACGTATGTTGTGTCTTTGTTTAGAGTGCTTTTATGAATAGTTATAATAGCAGGCGTGATCAAACAGGTGCGTTTCTCTCGCTATTCTTAACATATTTTTGCTCTCACTCTTCACTCGAAAAAGTAAAGGCTATTCTTCGGCTTATATTATATTATGCCCGTATACCGTATACAATGTTCTAGGGTGACAAAGAACATCCCTGCTATGCAGTTTACAATGTATTCAAAGCTAGAGAAATTCCAACAAAACTTGTTCATATTTGCCGGAAACTTTAAGGATTTTTTTCATTTTTTTTCACAAAGAAAACGTTTTTTTTTACTCTTTCTTAGTATCGAACATTTTATATTAAAGTTATTGACAGTGCCAGTGATTGACACCTTATGTATACATTTTGTCATTGTACCCAAATCTTCGGAGAATTTTATTATTTTTCTTTTTGAATTGTTATTCATCAACGCTGTAGGTCCGAATTTTAGTTTCAATGTCATCGATTTATAGACTATTTTTTTATCAGGTATTTTTTTTCTGTCTGTTTGATATGAAGGATAATAGAAAAATTATTTATGAAAAAAAAAATACTGGCTATAATTTTTTAAAATTCTATTTTTGGATTTTTTGGTCAGGTTCATCCTTAGCGACTTTGGATTGTAAAGAAATTTATAATTTTTTACTTTGCGAACATAGTGCTTTATAACTCTAAAGATTTTTTTTGCTAGTAAAATTAAAAATTTTTGAAATGTACATGAAGAGTTTATGATACAATTACATTCATAAATTATTTATACAATAATTTAGTTATAGATCCATGCCAAAAAAAAGTAAGTAAAATGTGGCTTCATTAAAAATATTTAAAAAAAAACCGTACAAATTTTCTTTGAAATTTTTTTTGTATTAATCATGCGAGAATCATGCCCATTTTAAAATTACGCATGAGTTTTTTCATAAATGAAACTGTTATTAGAGTGCGACAAGTTTACTATTATTCTTGGCGCACTCCACTATCCTTGTCGCACGCAATTGACTGTGAAAATTGCTAAAATTAAAATAAATAACAAAAAAAAAACACAATCTAACTATCGATATTAAAGAAGTGAGGTTGACATTACAAAGTTCATATTTTTAACGGAAGTAAAAATAATTAATTAATATTGAGCTGTTTAATTGTGATGAAAATTAATTTAGCAGAAATTTGATAATTTTTGTAAAAAATTAATTATGACAAAAAAAATTTATATTTAAATTGACATGTAGAAATTTTATAAAATAAAAAATGCAATTTTTTATGAATAATTTTTTGGAACAAATTTGTTTGGTAAAGAAAATTAAAAAATTGTAGAGGCAGCTAAATTTAATGTCATTTAATTTTATGTGTTGATTGTTTCAATGTGTAAATTTATTTTTGCATGCCTTAAGCGCGAAGCGCGCAGGTATGCTCTACTCTCGCCTAAAAATCGTGATTTCGATTAAAACGTGATTTTCATAATTTAAACGAAAAAAATTATGGATAAAAAGCATATTGAAATAAATAATAGTAACTACAGAACACGTTAAAAAAATTTTCTTATCGATTAAATAAGATTTCTCAGAAAAAACTCGTTTTTCTGATGAATTAAATGAATAAGAGCGTGGTATTCACGGGAGCTATGGGCTTGACAACACCACAACTTTGTCAAAAATCACTTTCAATTTAAAATTTAATTTTTTTTTGTTTTATTCCTGAGGAAGTTTATCAAAACCCTTGTGAAAATTGCGTGTCAAAATAATTCAGTTTCAATACAGTTAATTTTTTTCGATTGTCAGTTCGGTGACTTTCTGCGATTTCGGCAGCCAT